AATTTAATGATAATTTTAAATACGGAGGAATAGGCTTAGTATTTTACCAATGTTGTTATACTTATTTTAAGGCACAAGGCTTTTATTAAGTTACTGTAATAATCCAAGTTCAAGTGAAAAGATTTTAGTCAAAGTCGTGCAGGCAGAGCTGCGGAATCACTAACGGTGTCTGAAGGTGAGAACTCGTCACGGATGAGATCATCAGGTGAAAGGTCATAAAGTGGGTCATTTTTATTTACTGTGAAATTATTATTCATTCATTTTACTGATACTTTAATTGGACAGGCCTTCACAAAAGGGCCTTTAAAAAATTTTAAAATAAAATTATGGAAATTTTGTGTTTGAAAAAGGGCACTTTGGGCATCAAAGGGCAAACGGGCAGGTGCTCAAGCATCCACTGCACCCCCCTCTGCACGTGTCTGTTCTCCCCTACTCTGTCTCTACTGACTGGTGAGCGTAACGTAGTGCTAGAAAAAGTCCTGGTATGCCAAAGACTAAAATGTAGAGTAACACTGCAACTAACATATTAATATACTAACTAATATTTTCTTGATTAATCGATTTGTTGTTTGGTCTATAAAAAGTCAGATGATGGTGAAAATGTCAATTTAATCGTTTCAGCTCTACCGTCCCGCTTCGAGCACTGCAAATATTGCTGTTTTCTGCCTGTTGTCTGGTATTGCTGAGGAACTTCTTCTGTAGTTGCTTCTTTTCAGTCTTCATACACTCACTGGCCACTTTATTAGGTACACCTTGCACCTCAGACTGACAACCATGAAGTACAAAGTCACTTAAATCCCCTTTCTTCCCCATTCTGGTGCTCTGCTTGACCTTCAGCAAGTTTTCTTGACCATGTTTACATGCCTAAATGCATTGAGTTGCTGCCATGTGATTGGTTGATTAGCTATTTTTATAAGGAAGCAATTGGACAGTTGTACCTTGTCATGGCGTCTCATGTTGTTTTTCCTTTGATGCCTTGTAGAGGAGGGTTGTGACTCGTTTGTATAAAAAGCAATCGCAGAGATCCTTTACGTCTTCTTCCAAATACACAAGATTTATCACGTCAAAACATTAATTCTCCGTGGTCGACTTTTAACCGAACCTATAAACTTAAATGTTTCTAATACTATGTTCACAATGCGGTCACTAATCTGTTTCTGTCCTCACTCAAAAGTTTAAGAACTTTCCCAAGTTGTTACCCAGTCACTCATTACACCTGTGAATGACTTAGGTCTAATTTATACTTCTGTTACTGCCAACTAGCATTTGGGGGTATAATTGCAGAGTGGCGGAGACACCGACGAACACGTATAAAATGCATGGCTTTACTTTCCCAACTTTAGTTCAACAGCTACACTCACCTCCAAAAGTCTTGGAGCGGTGAGGCACATTCCTTTTGTTTTTGTTGTTCACTGAAGACATTTGGGTTTAAGATCAAAACATGAGACGAGTTCAGAATTTCAGCTTTTATTTCCTGCTATTCACGTCTAGATGTGTTAAACAACTCAGGACAAACCACCGTTTGTTTGAAGCCACCCATTTTTCAAGTGAGCAAAACTACTGGGACATGTGACTGACAGATGTTTCTTGTTGCCCAGGTGTTGATTGTCCAAACATTAACTAGCTCTGCATGACTAGTCTAAGTTTTCATCCTTGGTTCAAACTTATAAAGACCGCATTTCCTGTTAAAGAGGATAAAGCGACATGAAGACCAGAGAGCTTACTGGTGTACTGAGCAACTGACGTCCAACAGGCAGCTGATGACAGAAATATGGTGAGAGCTGTGAAGACAAGCCCCAAAACATCAGGAAGTGACATCACCAACGACCTCCACAGTGCAGGGTGAAGGTATCACAATCCACTGTTGGAAGAAGAGTCAGAGAGCAGAAACATAGAGGCCACACCACAAGATGCAAACGATCAGCAGGAAGAATCAGAAGGCCAGACTGAAATTTGCAAAGAAGTACAGAGATGAGCCGCAAAAGTTCTGGATCACAATCTGATGGACTGATGAGACCAAGATTAATCTCTAGCAAAGAGATGGAAAGGCCAAAGTGTGGAGAAAGAAAGGAACTGCTGATGATCCAAAGCGTACGAGCTCATCTGTGAAGCATGGTGGAGGTGATGTCACGGCAACGCCCTGAAACCAACAAGCACTAAAAGAAGCTGCAGTAAAAGCCTGGAATCAAAAATGAAGAACGCAACAGTTTGGTGATGTGGATGGGTCGCAGGCTTGAGGCAGTTATAGCAAGAGAGGGTTCTGCCACCAAATATTAAATGTTATTTACTTTTGCTCACCTAAGAATGCTGTTGTCTAATACAAAGGGTGGTTTGTCCTGAGTTGTTTAAAACATCTAGACGTGAATACCTGGAAATAAAAGCTGAAATTCTGAACTCTTGTCTCATGTTTTGATCTTAAACCCAAATGTCTTCAGCGAACAACAGAAACAGGAATTTGCCTTACTGTTCCAAGACTTTTGGAGGGAACTGTATTTTTGTTTTTAATGTTTCCAAATTGAAAATCCAAAGTCTAAGCTTCATGATCTCAAATTTCAATAGAATTAAAATCATCTTGTTTTTACTATGACTTAATATCAATAATATTGTGGCTCCAACAGAACCTAATAATAAAGTGGCAGGTATATAGATGCATTTTCTGTATTTGCAGTGCCTTTCCAAACGTAGGTGTTGGTGAATATTTTCTCTACTTGGTTTTGTTTCCTGACAAAGTGGAGAAAATAAATCAAATGTAATGTTTCTGAACCAAAGCCTTTTTTTTTTAAAGTGTATCCGATTATTTTTATTGTAATTTGCATTTGAACAGGACGAGAGCTTTCAGGGGACCTCTGTGTTCATCCAAAATAATTTAGTTTATACATTTTCATTGGACCAATTACACACATGGAAAGTTCACACAGGCTTAAACCACAGACCTCGGTAAATAGTAGAAACTCCTGGATACCCCAAAATATTATTTGCCCTGGAGTGAGAATTTAAAACACCTTCAAGGTTTCAGTAATCCCAAAGTAAGAAGAAAAGTCGGGACTGGTGTTTGCTGCAGGTGTAAAAAAACAGACAGTGATTTTAAAAAAAGGGCAAATTTATTTAAAGCACTTACATAGAAAAATATGATTGATCTGAGTCAACAATAATAAATAGAGTGCCTGACTATCCCCAGGCCCTGTCGGTACAACAGTACAATCAATATCCAGTTTCACAATACAGCAAAGGCACTAGCATTTACCACAATCAACAACAAGTCAATGGAGGTGGCGTGGATGGCGGTGGGTAAAGGGGGGTGGGGGGTTCGCAGGGCTTTTTGTGTCACAGTTCACACTCATCAAATAAACTCTGTTTGAGCCTGCGGTCGTCACGTACACCATCACTCACGATCCAACGCCTGGCGCTCAGTACCTTGCTCCTAGATCTGAATAAATTCTTTACTATTTCTTAACACAAACGATTTCACACCCCCAATCTTTCGCTATTTGAGTAATGGAGCAAAAAAAAAGGACGTCAAAAACATTCCGAGCATCCTCTGGGGAGCTTGAACATACACCGAAATACGGGTAAATCTGGCCAATAACAGTCCAAATAGTTTTGGTCAATCACATTTTAATCAAACGGTGAGTTTAGACAAAAGCTGAGCGAGTCACCAAAGCCCTTCTGAATAATTCTCTCTAAATACAGTGGCGATATCAGTTGAGCTATTCTCACGGCGGTTGGACAGACGGTCCAAACGAACACAGCCATCCTCCAAAATAATAATCAAATCATTTAAACAGTGAAATTAGCAAGGTTAAAGTCCAACTGAAAGACGTGTTTTGCTTTAGATTTGCTCCGTCAGTTACAGGCGGCCTCTTTTTCTTTTTTTAACGTGTGGTTTAAAGGCGGAGCCTCGTTGTCTTGTCTTGTCTCCATTGGTTCGCAACTTGCAATGGACTGAACTGCTAGCTTCCTAGCTAATGTCTCCTTATTTATCTGGACGCACGGTCTTTCTTACACTGTTAGCTTGGTGGATGTGCTCCAAGCAAACGTCCACCAGGGAAGATTCACTTGCTAGGCTCGTTCTGACAGACGAGTCCAGCTGACTATGCACCTGTACATATCCTACGATAACTAAGAATCTTCAGACATCACGCGACATTGCTAATTAGCTATGAGCGTGAAAGTTCATCCTTGACCTCTAGGAACAGAACTTCATCTCACAGTCTTCATCAAACACATGGTGTTGACTCTTCCTGTATCTTCTAGAGGGGACTGTTGTGTTAAGTTTTGGTCTACGGCATTTGGAAAAAACTGCTTCTCAGTGGTAAATTCCACATCCCAGCTGCCTTTTCTGAGTGTCAGAGAATGCATCTTTTAAACATTTTAAAAATAGTGTGAAAATATGGTTGAAGGACAATGTCTATGAAGGTTCTCAGTCATCCAGGTCATAGTTATCCAACGAAGGTTAAAATCAAGGGCAACTGTACTTGGTTGAAGATACTGGAAGACGTTTCGTCCCTCATCCAAAGGACTTCTTCAGTTCTGACTGACTGGCAGGGAAACTCAGCTATTTAACCTCAGTGGGGTCGTTGGCCCGGGTCATCGGTTCGTTAGTGTTCCTGGTTGCTGTGACGACAGTCATTAAGACTACCTGTGGCCAAGACTGAACGACCATCGTTGGTATCTTCACCTGAAGCCAATAGGTTACGTTTGTTGAGTTTCCTGGGAAGGTGAAGATACCAACGATGGTCGTTCAGTATCAGTATCGTCAACCAAGTCCAGTTGCCCTCGACTTTAACCTTCGTTGGATTGAAGGACAATCAGGTGTGGAGCTGGGAGACGCTGAATGCAGCCAGTATTTGTACTGTGTGCCTGGTTAATTTCTTGTACTGACAGTTGATGTTGTGTTTTTTTGGGAGGTTGGGTATATTTGAGTCTGTTTTTAGTTTGTTATATCTGGCTTGATTTGATTGGCTTTTATCTATACATGTAAGGTTTGGATAGAGTATTGATTTTTTTTTTTTTTTTATTGTAATATCTTGCGTACTATTGGCACCTTCCCAGGGACTGCAGGAATTAGCTTTTAGCTATATCTTATCTGGTACTGTACATATATTGTGCGTTGTCCCTGTTAAATAAACAAACTGCAGTATGGCTCTTTGTTTGCTCTCATGTGACATACTAGATTATTTTGTCAGGTTAATTAGCGATTTACTGTGGTATAAACAAATTCAAACATTTTCTGTTAGCAAAAAAGACCCTGCGACAGTCAGACCGAATATAATTACAATGATGAAGGTCGGTGCCTTAGATTCTAGGAACCAAGACGATCTGTGACCGAATGTAATTATTCTCGTAATGACAATACATTGGACAGCACTGCAAAAAAAGGTTTGAATTTTGTATTTCAGTTGGACTTTACAAACAAAAACAGGGTTGTAGGTTCAGTAGGTGGCACATATATCCAGTGAATCTGACACATTATAGATGTAATGGAAGAAATAAGTAAATTGAAAAGCTCCCGGCCTTCATAGAACTGCAGCAGTTTCACTTCAGAGCTAATAGCGTCATTAATAACGGCGCGCTGCACGGCCTCAGTGTTGGTCCCAATCAGGAACGATGTATAATCTGTTATCATTAATAGATTTTTGCTTCTTTCAGAGGGGTGAATGATGTGTAAAGAACACGTAGTGCAACTCTTTACATGCAAGCAAATACATGATCAAGACAAAAGCGAGAATGACGCAGCTGGATCATACACACACAAAGCACATCCCTGCAGCTCACAGAAAATCTGAAATAATTTGACCGGGACAAGATGGATTGTTTTTTGTTTTTTTTAAAGGAAATATAGAAAGGAAATATAAACTGATTCTCATGTAAAGTCTTAATCAAAACATTGTAAATGCCAGTGTTCATTAATCATTGGTTCGGATTTACACTGGAAAAGAAAGACAAATTAAAACATTAGATATCTCAGTAAATACCATGGAACGTGATAAGGCTTTAAATCTTTCTCCAGTTCGACTGGCCTCAGTTCAAATATAGTGTCCTCTTTTAAATCTTTCCCCCAAGATGACACATGTTCCCGTCATGTCCTCGTGAACAAACTTTGTCTTCTGGAAAAAGCCCTGATTGTCAGAACAAATTGTAAGAATATGGTTATTTCCCCGCCTTAAAGCTAGTCCCGTCAGTATCCACACTCGTCCATCGCCTCAGCCGAGTCAATCCTGCGTTTAGAAAATCTGCTGTCCGTTTTTTGTTGCCTCTGCTTCTCGTTCACCTTGAGGTGGAGTCGTCTGGAGAATTAATGCACAAGGTTCGAGAATGTTTCGAAAGGGCTGTAAAGCTTTACCATCATTCTTTGCGCACCGCGGCGCAGTCAGTAGATGTCCGAGCTCTCGGGGGGCCTCGTCGCTCAGGAGCTCGAAGGCTGGCGGACCTGCTGGCTCTCAGCAGTTCTGGGTTTTTAGATGTTCCTCTGCGCGGTGAGGTACTTCAGAGCGGCCGAGCCGTACTTCCTGGACAGGTCCTGGTGGAACTCGTCCTTCAGGGTGTTCAGACAGTTGCGGTAGCTGGAACTGGAGCGAAACTTGGAGATGTCGAAGCTGGGCGCGTGCGGCATGTGGATCATGAAAGCGTTGGGGAGGACCATCAGGTCGTACTCCTGAGAAAAGGAAAAATAAAACGCGTTGAGACAAGAGAACATTCCCTCCTTCACATCGAGTTCCCATCTTTTGCATTTGGACTGTGGACACAAACCTGTGCATCCAGCTCCATGATATGGGACACCTTGTTCCAGCCGAAGCCCACGAAGCGCTGGTCGTACTCTGGACAGTCCCGTCTCACCACAACGTACGGCTCAAAGTCCGGCTCCCATTCGACTTGATACGGGGTGGTGGCTGTTCGCCATTCGGCATAGTTGGTAGGAGCGTGACCTTTGGGCCACACGTGATACCTGGAGAGGCAGGAAGGGAAGGACAATCGTATCCAGAGCCGCCACATTATGTATCTACATGTTCCCTCCTCCCCCAGGTACCTGAAGGTGTAGAGGGTCCCCATGTCCAGCATGGAGAGCAGCTCTGCTTTGGATTTGGGGAAGGACAGACGGTACCGAAGCGTCTCAAAAGCTGGAACCACCAGAGCCTTCTTAGTGTGAGCCATGTCCAGCTGCACCACAGACCTCCTGCAAGGAGGAAACATGACCGGTGAGGAGAGAGGGGGAAGGAGGGAGGGAGGGAGGGAGGGAGGGAGGAGAGTAGTTTTTGTAGTAGCAGCTGGTCTTACCTGAGGTAATCGTAGAGACCGTACATGGGCAGGAAGTCCACGTCTGTCAGGAACACGTAGGGCGTGTTGGCATTCTTCAGGGCCACGTTCCTCACCAGGTTGACGGGGTAGAACTGGCCCTCCTTGTAGACGATGTGGTAGCCCACGTTCTTGCGGTTCTTGAGGACCTCTGAGGCCTGAGCGTAGCGTAGGAACTGCTGGGCCTCGGCGTCGGACATGTAGAGCGCCAGGCTGATGGGGCCCTCCCAGTGCTTACAGATGGCCTCCAGCATCTGCAGCCTGCGGGGGGCCACAAAGGGTTTCAGTTTGCTGTGATATCAAACTGGTGAAAGCAGCAATTGTGTTACAAGGTCCATTAAATTAGCTGTCCTGGAGTTTTCGATCATGTTGCATGATCTTCATCAGCAGCCCTAATTGTTGTGCTTTGTTAGTTTTTCGTTTTGTTTTAAGCCAAATCGAAGTAGTTCAAGTCCAGTGAAAAACCTTAAATGGTGCTAAAGTTAAAAACAACGTCACCAAAACAGACATTTTCAGATCTAAAATAAGAGTTTTGTTCATTATTGCTCGGTCTTCCTTCATTATTATATATAATATAGTAGAAATAAAGCTTCTGATGGTGGATTAACAGGCTGTTCCAAGGTGTTTACTGCAGAATGACTTGAAGTTATTAACTCATTAATTGATCCCTGAAAACCTCTGAAATTTACGTAATTTCTCAGTTTTGCAGAACTAAACTTTGGTTATTCTGCAGTAAAATAATGGACATAACTCCTTCATTTAACTGTTCATTTCAGATCTGAATGTCTGTTTTGGTGACGTAAACATTGTTTTTAACTGGAATTGAACTACTTGCAGTGAGTACGGAAAGTATTCAGACCCCTTTAAATTTTTCACTCTTTGTTTCATTGCAGCCATTTTCCAAAAATCAAAAAAGTTCATTTTATTTCTCAGTAATGTACACTCAGCACCCCATCTTGACAGAAAAAAACTGAATACTTATGACCATGTGATATTTCAGTTTTTCTTTTTTAATAAATTTGCAAAAATTTCTACATTTCTGTTTTTTTCTGTCAAGATGGGGTGCTGAGTGTACATTACTGAGAAATAAAATGAACTTTTTTGATTTTTGGAAAATGGCTGCAATGAAACAAAGAGTGAAAAATTTAAAGGGGTCTGAATACTTTCCGTACCCACTGTATACCTACAAACATGGGGCTGTTCTTAACGTGCTCAGAAAACTTCAGTATCTAGAGGGTCCCTCCTGTTCTGATGGACCACCATTGGACCTTACTTTGGAAAGAATTTGTACGGTAGTCAACGGTAAGAGAGCTGAGTTTTGATCCCGTTTAAACTGTGCTCTGAATTACACACATGATGGCCAATTTGAAATGTAGAAGTCAAGAAAGTTGCAGTTCGATGTAAAAATGTTGAGGTATCAGACTGAAAATACGTAATTACAAAGACGACTAACAAAATTTGCGTATGTGTCGTCATAACCGTTCCAATGACTGAGGCAGATGTCAAAGAACTTACATAAGAGGATGATGAAAGGACGAGAGTCGCTGGATTAAAACAGTACAGGTGAGATATTTCTGCCTGGAACATAACGGGCCTTGCCGAAACTAGACCCTCCCTCACAGCCAAATCGAGCTCCCTGACCCGCGTAGGGTGTAAATACAGCGGACAAAACAGTATCTGACGTTAGCGCGGCACTCCCTGCTATAATATGTGTATGAAATAAACAACAGTGGTGTTAAGATGCAGGATTGCTGTTGAGGAAAATAACAAAACTGAAAACATTGGTCATTCATTTTGTGTCAGATATTTCTTTAAGAACGTGACTTTAGATATTGATGAAAACTAAATATTATATTCTATGATAAGATTGATATTTATTGTCAGCAGCAACCAAGCAATGAATGTTAGCTAGCATTACCGCGTTAACAGGTTTGTGTGAGAGACGAGAGATGTAGTTCACTGGATGGTTTTCACACAAAACTAAAATGTAACTTTTCTGTTTTACAACAAACTGCAACGTTCTTGACAAACGTGTGTAATTCTGGTCTCAGTTCAAACAGGATCAAAGTAGAAGTGGTTTCTCGCCGTTGACTACCCAACATAATTTTTCCGAAATAAGGTCCCATGGACCGGAAGCGAGTGACTCAGGCTCTCTGTAGTTCTCTTACATCTGTTGATGAAGACCGTGTGAATTATAGAGCTAATACAGTTTATCCCCTTTTCCACCGCACGTACCAGCTCCACGCACCTCTTTTTGGTTTTCCACTGTGGAAAAGTTGGACCTGGACCAGGTACTTTTTTTTTGTATGTCCTCCATTGAGGTTTCAAGCAAGCTGAGGCGATACTAAAATGTGACAGACTGCTGATTGGTCACAGAGAATCGTCACCAGACAGGCCAGCAACAGGGAGTTTTAGATTTTACAGTTTTCTCAGCTCAAAACTTCTCAGAAGTGGATTTAGTGATGAAATTACATACGAAATCAGCTCTGTAGATTTCCAATTTCTACAGTTTTATGAGAAGTGATGGTGAAAGTTGAAAGTTTTCGGAGTTGAGGAGGCGGGGGAAGCCTGCGGCAACCCGTGGGAGGAGCTTGCGAGGCCGGCCAGCCGCCCACTCACAGAGCCCTCTGCTCCCGCCGTCACACAGACCGCTGCAGCAACAACGGCAGAGGAAAACACAGCTGGAAGGTTTTCATACCGCTTATCCTGCGTACAGGGTCGCGGGGGGCTGGAGCCAAGCTGGAGTACAGCCTGGACAGGTCGCCAGTCCATCCCAGTAATGTTGAAACGTTTTAACTTAATAAAGCGACGGCTGTTTGCGGGTCGCATTGAACATTACGTCGCGGCAGTTGTGTGTGGCGTCGCTATGATGACCAGCTACATTGAGGGTGCTATCTGCAATGGAAAACCGAGTCGAGCTGAGCTGGTACTGGTGATGGAAAAACGACACGTATATAAAAGGCATGCGTTGGTTGGTGTACCTGTCCATGGAGAGCTGGGCCACCAGTGTGACGTCAGTATTGTCCTCGGTGGGCGTGTACTCGTACTGCAGGAAGTACAGGTGCACTCTATGAACGGTGAGTCGCTCCCGACGGAAGTCGTAACACTGATCGTCCTCGTCCAGCTCCTCCAGGGCGGCCTGCAGCTGAAGGAGACACAACGCTGCTCAACGCTCTGACAAGTTCTTTTAAAGACCTAAAATCTTTAGTTGGTCATTTTCTGTTGCTTCCTGTTAGGACAGGACAAGTTTCTCCTCAGTTTTGGCTCCTTGTTTTTGTGTTTCTGCCAGAAAAACTAGACCATAAATGCACCACAGCCAATTATCCCAGTTAAATCAGTTTGGATTGTAATCAAGATTTAGCAAATCTAGACAGGGTTGTGTTGTCATGGCAGCCACACTTTAACTGTACCGTGAACAGATATCCTGCCAAATAATAATTATATTTTTGATTGTGTTTTTTATTCTGTTAAAAATGAATACTTGTCAGTAGATGGTTATCAGATAGTTGTTGCTCTCAAAACTCAATATTGGATCAGCCTCAAAATGCAGATCGTCCCGCTCTATTTCAATCACCCTAAAGAACCATGACTAGGTAGAGCGGGGTATGGGTCATTCTGTGAGTGTCTCACCTGGACGCTCTCTGGACTGGCCTGACTCGGGCAGCCGAACAGCTCTCGTCTCAGCAGGTTTCCGTCGTACTCCAGGAAGGTCAGGTAGAGGTTCCTGAAGAACTCCACGTGTTTGTTCTTCACGCGGAGCTTCTTCGGAGAGTTCCAGTGGATCACCTGAAACACAGCGGGAAGCTTACTCAGTACATTTACTCCACTTCAGAGGGAAATGTTGTGCCTTTAACTGATGGCTTTAAATCGTTTGCTGATTTCAAAAGCATCTTGAAATCCACTTTTGTTTCCGGAGGTTTGGCTCAGACACTTGTCCGGTGTTCGTGAGGCTTGGTGAGATTCTTTCTGCCGCAATGTCAACGTATTTTCCCACAATCCTGACCATCAATTAGCCCGTTCACGTGTGCGGAATTAGAGGCAGCTGGTCTAATTAAATAAACTACTTTGATTAAGTCGGTCCCCCATGTGTGTTTCCCTTATTTGCATGGTCTCGGAGCTGGGCCTTCACACCTGTGTTAGGTCTGAGTGATGATCTTACCTAATTGGCCTAAACTGCTAATTATAGACCTGGTGGTCACAGCCAAGGGCGTTTAAAAGTGGTGGGGACATTTAAGGGCTCAGATGAGTGTGACAGAACACTTGGCCCTCGAGACGTGACAATGCAGAATATTGTGGTCACACGCACAAAACCAGCAGATATTTTTATACTAAACTACATGTCCCCAGCGTAAATGACACCTATGGTCACAGCTGCTAAAGGAAATGCAGACTGCTTCCACACACTCACACATCGGACAAATGGGGCCAGCCAGGAAACTCTTGAGGAAGTAAATGAAGCTAAAAATCATATCAAATCATGTTGAATCAGTTTCAGTTTTAACGCCTTTGATTTGCGGCGCCTCGTCTGACAGTGAATCACATTTATTTTCTGTTTCAAACATCCTCAGACTTGGTTAGGTTTAGGAAAGTAGCGGTTACACGTACCTTGAGGTCGGACACCTCGGTGTAGCACTGCTCGGAGCGAGTGTGATCCGACAGCTGGACGTTCCAGAAGCAGGGCAGCTGGTGCACCAGGACCGGGTTCTGCTTTATGAAGGCGTTGAAGATGTCCTGCTCACGGTGGACAGACAACAAAAGCGTTAACAACTCTTCTGCAGCAGCTCTTCTGGTCCTACTGAGATCTGGATCCTACTGCAATTCTGTCACAGACAAACCGTCTACGGAATCAGATTTGTGCCAAAACTTCTTAAAAATCAAACAAAACCAAAAAAATTGAAAAAGTTAAACTAACTGAAGAAAAAAATATATTTCAAAAATAAAACAACTTACAAACAAAGAAGTTGTTGTTGGTTTTTACTTTTTGTTTACAGCTCCCTCTGCTGCTTTCTCAGTGATCAGAAGTTTGACTGGATTACTACAAGATTAATAAAGTATTGATCATATGTTGTCTGAGCTGTAACCTACTTGCTGTTGTGTTGTCTTAAGTTGGCCCACGACAGAAGAGATTTGTTTTTTTGCTTCAGTTAGTTTTATTTTCTCTGCTGTGTATTGGCACAAATCTGATTCTATAGACATTTCTCAGGAGGGAGGAAACAGGAAGGCGTTCCTGAAAGCGAGAGTCACCCTGGTGTTAAGGTCCCGGTTGAAAATGCAGCAGCTCGTCTCTTGAAGGCACCACAGAGCCATGTTATCTCGGCTTTGATTTTACCATCTGTTGGACTGTTTACAACGGCTCGCTGTGTTCTGGATCAATCACTGTAAGCTGAGCTGGGATGATGCAGCGCAGATCAAAGAACAATCATATTTCATACCGGACATTTGAGATGAGGCTAATGCATCCGACCTTTCTGAACTGTATTACAAAGTTTATGGAAGGATACTCCGTCTTAACTGGAGTTGAGGGTAATCCAACCTCAGTGCTTTTTTGGTACAAACCAAAATTAGTCTGTTGCATTGATTATCAGAAACAGTCTAATTTGAACTCTTGTTGACTTATTCTTTCAGAATGGTTCTCGATTTAAATCAGAAGTTTGGATTATATTTGGCGTTCTCAGCTGCTCAGTTGATGCCTGACCTTGGAAATCACGGTTTCACAAAACAATCTTAGTAAACATGCGTTACACCTGCTGATGGATCAACATGAGGTTAAAAAGCTCTGTTTACATTTTATTTTAAAAATACCATTGTTTTCTGCATTGGTGCAGTAAACAGCGTTTCCCCACACACAGGCAGCGGGACGCCCAGGTAGATTGAACAAATCTGTCCATGTCGGAGACCGATGTTCAAAACAGTTATTAGCAAGCGTGTAAGGAGCCTAAGGATCTATGTGGAAAACAGCTGTCGAAGTTGGCACGCTGTATGACTGGTAGTCAATAGGTGCGTTTGAGATAACTGGCTGACTTTTGCCGACTTGATAGAGGAATAAAAACAGCGCCGTCAAGTCAGACGCAATCTACCTCCGGTAGACTGCGTGAGCTTACTGTGAGCTTAGAACAATGATCAGGCCTTGCTCCCACGAGGTCTGGTGACGTTTAGCAGCGCAGGTGAATTCTGCATGCCTGCCGTGAAACGCTCTGTTATACTGAGAAAACAGGTGGATGCAAATTTCTGCAGGTAGCCTACAACATCTGTTTTGCCGAATTATCCGTTCACTTATTAAATAAGGTGCTGTTCACATTGTTTAAACGCAGTTAGCGCCACTTGATTTTGCTCACTCTCAAGAAATGGTACTTTAAGTGTAAGAATATATTAATGGTTTTTAACGTTCAAAAAAGAGACTGATTATTTTTCACTATTGATGAACCCCGCAATGAACAGTATTGCGTTTAAAAGCAGAAATTTTTTCAATTCTTGGCGGGCATGCAAAGTTCGGCATAACACCTGTGGAAGTCAAAGTACTTTTTGGTACTATAATAATAAAAGCAATTGCTTTTTCAGTCCACTAGAAAAAAAAAGTTTTCCTTTGGGGACACAATTTGAAGATGGAAAAAAAGATCGTAAGTATTTAAGCAATGTATTTAAAATCGCAGTACTATCGTATTGTAACATAAGAATCGTGATGGTATCGTATCGTGGGGCCTCTGGTGATTCCCGTTATTACTTTTTGAAGGAGTAAAAAGTAACTTATTACAATTCGTGACTGCTACCTGCTGAAGAACATTCAGATTTTAATAAGCTTGTATTTCTGATTTATACCATAATGTCTTTTGTGCTCTCAGCTGTCAGGACTCTTAATGATTGTTGTATCTTTGCGGTTGTAGCCCGCAGTGTAACAAACAAATTGTTCTAAACAGTTGATCGGTCCAACACAAACTGTGAGCTCAGACTGAGATGTCCTGAAAATGACCAGATTTCCTTGAAATCTGCTATGGATTCATGATCCAGACGAATCTGACCCCCTGGCCCTTCCTCTAGCGCCACCAGGCCTCAAAATTCTTTCAGACAGCTGCCTTTAAATTTCCTTTTTCCCCTTCTTGGAGCAGATAAGTTGACATGACAACCGGAACAGCAGACACAAACATATATGACAGTGTTCTCAGCGGGTTGGAGGTATCCCTGACCTGATCAGCCAGCGATGTACTGAGCATGCTCATTAGCTCCCTCTCTGCCGTCAGCCGCCACATCTGCTCCCAGCTGATTCGCCGCAGTCGCTCCAAGTAGAGAAGAATGACGCCTGTAGGAAATAATTCACAAGCATGACTTGAGCTTCGCCTGAGCCTCGTCTGCAGACAACGAATGAATCTGTATTTGTGGCTCCAGGTGAGATGATTCAGCTGTCAAACTACTTCAGACAGCCATCCTGAGACACTGCAGCCAAATGTGGCGTCAGCAAACTCCGGCGAGGTCACGTCAGGTTCTGTCTAAAAGCAACTCGCCAGGTTCAGTGAGGATGTGTCCAGAAAAGAAACGGCCGTTACCTGTGTTGAAGCCTCGTCCCAGCGCAGGCCAGGGTTTGTGGTTCTTCCACAAGTTGCCCAGGTACCAGTCGCTCTGGTTCTCCACCAGGCCTATCACCTGTTTATCTGCACACAAAACAATCCATCATCATTAATCAGCCTCAGTGTCACAAAACTATTCTGAAAGAGCAGAGTTCTGTATATATGAGTCATGTAAATACTCTCAGACAGCAGCACAAAGAAGTCCAGTCTAACAGATTTATTTTTGTTAGACAGCAGGTTCGAGGTAAAACAACAATTACTAAAAAGACTGCTTTCAGGGTCAGTTTTGTCTCCGATGTGTTGCCTATTTGCATGATATTGAGGTTATTTATTCATTTGTAGATATCACCCTTTGCAGGCGGGGGTCACTTTTATAACTTGACGACACGGGCACATAACAACCCCAAAATCTGATGGTGTTTGATCTGTAGGTGGCGCTACAGCAATGCGGTTAAAATGAGCCGTACCTTTTGTGGTTGTGAACGTAACACACGCGCAGAGTTGATCTTTCAAAAAGCTTAACACTGTATTCTCAGACAGGGATTCTTTAATACGGTGTAAAATTCAAAGTGTCTCACCGGTGAACTTCCTAAAAATGCCCCAGAGCTCAGCGATGTCGGTGGCGAAGGTGATGTCCGTGTCCAAGACGATGACCTTTGACAGGTCTGAGGGCAAAGCTTTGGTTAGCGTCAGCTTCATCAAGCCGTAAATACCTGAGTAATGCTTGTTGGGTATCCACGACACCTCGGACTGAAACGACAAGAGAAGAAAACGTGTTATGTTTCACCAGTGAATCTAGCAGGTTTCATTTCTATCTTTTCCTTTAAAACCGGTAAACCCTCAGCGCACTGACGGATGGATCCAGTGTTCATTATGTGTGAGCAGCGTTCCGTGTGTGGGTTAACACAAAGCTACATTCAGCATGTTTTGGCAAGGGCTCAATGCGGAATCTGCAAACAGTGTATTTTTAATTAATTCTCTTGATTCAGAGTAATTGGATCTGCATAAGTGCATCATCTGCAAATATAATCGGCTTAGAGTCTCGTCTGTTTTCCTCCAGTTTAACGTGACTTCATGAAAACTGGAGAGAGAGGCTGCAGGTCGAAGCATCTGACGGCACAAAGGACTCATTGTTCAGCACAAAGACTGTGAGGGAGGAGAATGTGATGATGTGAGGCGGGGGGGGGGGGGGGGGGGTGCAGGTTGGAGTCTTACACACACACACTTATTCATGCTGGTCACATTCCCATCAGTCTGAGAGCTCATTCATCAACACTGATGTTAAAATACATTACATGGTGTTTTTCTGACACTTGACTTTGGGAGGAAAAGTGCGTCCACAGCTCGTCCAGCTCAATTATGTATTGTTGCTGCTGTGTGAAAACCTTGTAAGCCCATTGTGGTGATTGCAAGCGGCAACCTCCGGGTCTGAAAAGTGAAGCCGGCGCTGAAGGGCCTTAAACCTGCGATCTCTCCAGCAGCCAGCAGGGGGCGACTCCACCGGCTGCAGAAAGAAGTGTGATTGTATAGAAGTCTATGAGACCATAAACTCATCAGGAAAGTGTTTACTGAGGGAATAAATCAGCTGAGAAGTAGAAACATTTTCTCAGTCGCTAGTTTCAAATCTTCTTCTTCAACACAGCATGATGTTCATTTAGTAAATTATGGTCCCATTTAGGGGACAATGGACCAGAATGCAGGGGAGGCTTTAGGGCGGGGCTACAAGCTGATTAACAAGTCGCTACCATGGCAACCTGTGACTAATGGTGCGCTCAGGGATTGGATCAATGTCATATCCGTAAAAAAAACAAAACAGGGAAACCCGACAAGGTTGGACAACAAGATGGCCGTGTTGTTGTAGCAAAGTCGACATAGCCAGTTTTAGATCGTAGCAAGACGGCTATCGGGAACAGTAAGACTGAAGGCTGAAGGATTTTTGGGGGGGAATTAATCAACTAATTGTAATTTTATAGAGATATTGCGATTAAAATATGTGATTTCTTTAATTTAAGTTTTTTTAAGTCCAATATTCACTGCCAGTCTATTTTCGACTGAAGCGGCGTAAAGCAGCACAGAGCAGATGAACCGGGCAGGAAGTCTGACACAGAACGGCAGAGAGAATCCGGTCAATTTTCAAAATAAAACACCCTTTGCAGATTCCCGATCATACATCAACAATAAAAACAGTTAAAACAGACAAAAAAAACAATTTAACTACGTAGCCTTCTTAATCACAGTGCAAGCACTCATTACCAAGTCAATAAAATCTAAAACATGTCATCAAAATGCTCTTATTCTGAAATGCTCCCTGTGGATATGCAGCCGGATAGGACAGAATACAACAACAAGTCAATGCGGAGACACTTCCTGCGGACACTGACGCCGCGCTGGGGACCTAACGAAGCCGTGGCGCAGCCGGAGTCGCTGGATTTAGACAGATAGAAAAAGGCCGCGACTGGTAACAACAGCTTGAAACGTCACTCCTGTTCCGGCATGCCGCTTGCGTTTGTTCCGGCATGCCGGCTTTTCACACAGACATCTTTCCGCCTCCGTTACTACCAACATTCCCGGCGGATCAGATCGGACCCCTCTTTCCAGCGCAGCGAGCTGCCGTATTAGCGTAATAATCCCGGAAAACTGGGCAGCGTGAAAGCGCCTTGAGACATTGACGAAGTCTTTAATGTCCATCGGCCATATAGTAGAGTTTTACAGGGTGTGTAGAGACTGTATTACACATACTAAAGTGTCTAATATTCTATCCAAGCACATGAACACAACATCAGAAATATCAGACATGGTTTTATTATGTGGTGCTTCTTACTTTAATGTGAGAGATTTGGCTGTCAGTCTAAATCAAGGCTAAACTGAAGAGTGACCCTCCGCCACATCCTGAAATAACATCCAGTTAACACCTAAACAGTCCTCTGATCTCTGCTAATGTGGCATACCATGTGACAGGCGCATGAAAACCCAAGCTGGGACCTCCTGCTTTAGAATTGGTGGCGTGTCAGAACTGTGCAGTCTTTTGTATTGATGTCTCTCAGTCTTTGATGCTCTGTAAACCTGCTCCGAAGGAGATTTATAACACATTTAACTCGACTGTATCCTCACAACTGGCTGCTGCTTTGGAGCTGAGAGATTCTCCTTTGATATGGTAAATGTGGGACGTGACTTTGGCTCACCTTGTCCCAGCAGAGAGCAGGAAACAAGGATACGTAGAGGTGTGTGTGGACGAGGACCGACATGGCTTGTTTTTAGACGAGGTGTGCGAGCGTTTCATGTCGTCCTCTTACCTTGAGTTCGTCTGCGTCGTAGAAGCTGACTTGCACAGACGGGACCATCCAGGACTGAAACAAAGAACTCAGGATGCGATTGGCCACTGTGTCGGTGATGAAATGAAAGTGAAGAGGATTTCTCCTGAGGAATTGAGAGGGAAAAAACGGGAGACGTCAAGGTCAAGAAGGTTCCTTCTGGGGAGAGAAAGACTGTTATGCTAGTTCGGTGTTTGGTTGCGGTCAAAATCTAAAACAAAGGGCGCCTACTGAAAGTTTAAAACACAAAATGAAAACTGTGTTTATGGCTATACTGTTTTATTTTCCTTTTCATTACCCGATTTGCCCCGAAAAACACTCACATTTTCTAAAGAGGATCCAAATAAACAGATTTAACTGTGGTATTACTGTCAAAAAGCAAACCCTCCCACCCTGCAGTTTACAGCAAACAAGATTATGTCTCTCAAAGCAAGTAAAAATCAATATTCAAGCGTAGACTTATGATTTGTGCTCTTTTTTAATCATTACATTTATTCATTTATCTGACGCTTTTATCCAAAGCGACTTACAGCTGCTGTACGTGTCAGAGGTCGCACGCCTCTGGAGCAACGAAGTGTCTTGCTCAGGGACACAATGGTGGATGGGTCACGGTGGATTCGAACCCGGGTCTCTCACACCAAAGGTACTGTCTTATGGGGCGGCTGTGTGGAGCCGGTTGGCCGTTAAACGAAAGGTCGGCGGTTCAATCCCTGGCTGCCCCAGGCTGTATGTCGAAGTGTCCTTGGGCAAGATACTGAACCCTGAATTGCCCCTGGCTGTTCCGCCAGTGTACGAATGTGAATGTTCGTTTCTGTCTGAGCACTTAGGCTCAGTGTATGAATGTGTGTGACTGGTGAATGTAGTGTAAAAGCGCTTTGAGTGGTCGAAAAGACTAGAAAGGCGCTATACAAGTACGGAGCATTTACATTTATCCACTGCGCCATCACCACCCCACTCAATAATTTTAATTACCTCCTGGTTAAAGGATATTTCAGGTGATATTCTATCATTTTATTTCCATTCTAGCAGACTTTATCTACTAACAAGTACTGTGTGTATCACAGCCTGGTGCATCTGCTCCATAGAGTAGTTGTTCTCCAAGTGGGGCTGGGGACCCCCTGGGGACCCCGAGAGGGTCCCCAGCAAAAAGGGGAATCATTTATTTTCATCCAAGTGACACAGTGACAGCATGTCTGACTGTTTCGAGCCTGTTTCTGTTATAAAACATGGAGGACGGAGGATGGAGGACACTGGGACAGAAGATTATCAAACGGGGGTCCGTGGTCTAATTGTGTCAGTTTAGGGATGTGAAAGAGTTTGGGAGCCGCTGCCAAAGAGCTCCTCTGCTGCACCGGGTGACGGTTTCCTTCACCACCACAGACAGGAAGTCAGACACGTTGTTGTTATTCAGAACCGCCTACTAGAGACTACCAGCAACCGCAGTACGAACTACATACTACCCTTCATAGTATGCAGTATGTTAAATGGATTTATTTTACAGTATGCTAGGCCAGGCTTAGCCAGTTTCCTGTTTAGGAAAGTGGAAGTAAACAATTGGAGGAATATAAATAAGCATTTTTTTCTGATTTAATCTCGTGTGAGGGGAACAAGGCTGCAGCCCAGCGGTAACGAGCTACCTGACTACCCATAAGAAGCCCACAACTCTTATTAAGCCTGCTAAGCTAATGTTTAGCAGCGTTAACCTCAGCGAGCTGTCAATAAGAAAACACGACATACAGAAGTTATATTTCTCGCCTCGGCCACCGCTGACGCAGCGATGCAGCCGTTCGCCATTTCAACACTGACCGCTTGTTGAGACCGCCTGATTATTTTAAATTAAGGTTTTTAAAAGTTGTTGTCACCGTTCTGGCACTCTGCATTGTGGGACAAGAGGTAGACTGGTCTGATGTATACTGGAGATCTTTTCACTACATACTACATTTAGGCCACATTAGTACGTGCTGCTAGTATTGTAGGCAGGTTTCAATACAGCCTCGGTCTTCTCATGAGATTTGCTCTCAATGTCAAAGATATAGATGTCACCAGATTGATTCTATAAAACACTTCAAGTTCACAGAAACTCGTCACATGTATTTTCACTCTTTATTGTAAGACCTTCCTGTAAACATGTTCAAGGCCAGAACAATGACCTAAAACCAGTATTTACCGGGGAGAGAGACGGACATGGACTTCAGCCCCACTGAGCGGAAAAACAATTTAGAGAGATAAAAATATCTCTAACACGGGGACAGTTAGACTCCCTGAAAGGTCTACAAGAAGAAGCACTCAAGAGTTTCATTTGCAATTAAAATACAGCTAAAGGAACATCCAGTCATTCTCAAACCAACAGCACATCAAATAGGCTCAAATATAGGAAAGAAAATTGATGTTTAGATCTTTAAAAGCATAAAAAGAAAGAAAAGCAGCACAACGAAGGGAGCAGAGCTGAATGAAGTCAGCAACAAAGCCCAGAACCCCCGTCAACCCCTCATACAAACTTATAACAGAAATACAGTAATTCATTCATTTTAAACTTTTCTTTTTTAAGATTGGAGGGAACGATGCTGGGACTAAGAGAGTTTGGGTTTTTCTTGAATTCACGTGCTTCAAAAAAGTAGATGTCATTAAAAAGTTTCATTTTTACTTTTCATTTCCAGAAACTTCCTATCTTAATGTCCCCCCCCCCTCCAAGTCTGCTACTACTCAAGGATTTTCAAGGCCTGTACAAATCTGAGTAAAAGCCACTTCAGCTTCAAATAAAGAAAAGTGGAGTCGAAACAAGGTTACAGATTCAGAGAGACGGGAAAGGTCTGAAATGAAAATTCAGCGTGTCACATTTTTCTGTTTGTGAATAAACTGACTCACCTGTGAAAGAGGACAGACTTCACCAGCGTGACCACGTCTCTGCTGGCGTTGTGACCGGCACAAACGCACGCTACGTGGATCAGCTGCGGAGACAGGAGACGTGGAGGGGTCAGTTTCAGAAAAGAGGCGGCCTGAAGCCATTTCACTTCACACGTCCACACTTTCACACTCTCTCTCTCCCCTTTTCTCCCGGCAGATTGTAATGACGACATGTGACCACAGCTATCTAACTCCACACCTTGTTGCGAATTTCTGCTTCAAAACAGAAGCTCTACTTTTTAAGTTTCTGAACAGTCACCTCTTTTTTTTGGAGATAGAAGCAGCTCACACCAGACATCTTCCCATAATCCAGGACATTCACAGAACTCTCTGATGTGAAATTTCATATTTAGTCTCTCATATGTGTATGATTTCACATCACCCGCTTTTGAGCAGAAAAGTCTTTGAAAAGTTGGAGCTCAAAGGCTGGAAAAGACATCAAAGAGTGTGTTCCCTCGGATTTTAGTCCCCGTCAACACTGTAATAGTCACCTGAGACTACCTTCGGGTATCGCAGTTCTGATGGTACACGTACAGTATCTCATAAAAGTGAGTACACCCCTCACATCTTTGTAAATATCTGATTTTATCTTTTTCTGAATTATAGTGTAACTTTGCAGTCCCCTCAAAGTAACACATCACACAGCTATTAATGTCTAAACTTCTGGCTGTTGCCAGTGGTTTAGACATTAATGTACTGAATTTGAGTACAAAATGTGTTATTTTGAGGGGACAGCAAATGTACACTGTTATACAAGCTGTACACTCACTACTTTTATTTAACCTTTATTTTACCAGGAAAGAAATCCATTGAGATTTTTAATCTCTTTTACAAGGATGTCCTGGCCAAGATGTGAAACGGCACACAGTGCAAGGTGCTTTACAGTGTAGCAAAGTGTCATTTCTTCAGCGACGTCACATGAAAACATTTAATCAAATATTTACAAAATGTGAGGGGTGGACTCACTTTTGTGAGATACTGTATATTATTTTCACTCCCATATGTAAATGCTGTACATTATATCAGGGGCGTGCAACGTAAACCCAGGTTGCAATATGGATTCTGGAATTGTCATTATATTATTATTTATTTCGTGGTTATCTGCTGCTCACTCGTGTGTTAAGAGGAAGGGGGGGGGGGGGGGGGGGGCGTTTTGGCAGGTGTATGGAGCTCGCAGGCAGGTGAAGCAGACGGCGTTTAGTGAACTCAGACTTCCAGACGACTCTCAAACGAAGGAATAAAGTCTTAGCTGCAGGATATACAGTATGCTGGAGAGCTTTCTGGATTACTGCAAGACATCCCTTTATCTGAAGTGACTGTGGTGAGATTGCGTGGGTTACCTCTGGGATTACTGAACTGCGGCGATTCGCCGTGCCGTCCACCTGGTAACACTATTTCTTTCCTTTAAGAGGGAATGTATTCGTCCTCCCGGCTTTTGTTTCCGGTGTGAAATAATTAGATTTACACATCGTGATTAAAGCAACAAATGGTGTTTGTTTCATGAACGCACCATTTTTTATTAAGATTAGAGTTTATTTCTGTCGTGTTCGGCTTTTCTCTTCACGTTCTTTAAGTAAGGTGAATTCTTGCAACATCCTCCTGGCTGGTGAGGTGTGGTTGAGTGTAAACCTTCCTTTGAACAGTTTTCCACAAGACACTCGATGTCCAATCACCCTGCATCCAGCGCAGAGGTTTATTTTTTTATTGCAGCCTTTAGTTTACTTAAATTTAGAATTTATTATTAGTAGTTATTTATTCTCCCTCCAGTTTGATGTGAAAACTGAAATATTATTGAAATATTATTTGATCTGACAGTCAGTTGTTGATGCAACTACAGGTTATGGTATGAATAATGTATAATATATAATGAATAATAACGCAAGTTAGTGGTCACGATGATCCGGAGCTTTGCTTCAGTTAAAATTCAAAGAGGTCCAGTTAGAGAAAAGTTCCTGAATACCCCTGATCTAGCGTATAACATGAATCGTGCCGTACGCTGCCAACACCAGTGTGTTCTTCACAGAGGAAGTTTCAGAGATGCACAAATCCTCTGGGAACCCTGAGTAACGGAACTGAATATCATATAAATCCAGATACTCCCTGAGATACTTCCGTCAGGCAGAACAGCAGAGTAAATGAAGTAAATATAGTAATAGAAGGAGCTAGTGTTGGAAAAGATGTGTTTCTGATGGAGTGTTCTAAATCACTGGTACATTAAACTCCTGGTAACCCCAGAAGCTGACGCCCCATGTGTGACTGAACTGAAACTGACGGCATGTTAATGTTATTACAAGCGGTAAAACTCGCCTGATCGCCGCCTTGTCTTTTATTTTGGTCTAACAGGTGAACAGCTGGGTGTTGTGTTTCCTGACCTCACACTTCTGGACGGTGGGCGATCGGGGACACTCCGTGTGGTTGTTCTTCTCCTCTGCCGTGTTGTCCCCGTCCTCGGGCCCCGTGTCCGCGGAGGCTCCCCACTGCTGGTTGCCATAGTTGCCGTCCGGCGGCTGGGCGGCGGTGCCTTGCGATTGGCTGAGCTGCAACCGGATCTGGCGGTTCTCTTCCTCCACCTCTCGAACCCGCGACTCGAGGACGGCTCGCTCCAGGACTCGGGCTGCCGGTGTGTCGGCCAGACAGGGAGCCAGCAGGAGGGAGCGACCATCTGTGGAGGGAGACGCAGAGAGATTCAGACGGGTCTGTAACCCTCCTCAAAGATTAAAGCTCGTGTTTCTATGCTGTGTTCGGCTTACATTTTGTCATGATGCAAAGTGCAATAAACAGTTAAACCTTGATTTGTTTTACAAGGACCTGTTGTTGTAAAAACAGCTTTGTTATTAGTTTTCTTAGCCAAATCTCAAACTTGTCCTACAGTGCGACTGTCTCAGGCATGGTTCAATAAATCACAACCTTTATGAAATAAAATGACACATAAAAACCTCAGGCATAATGTCTATTTTAGTAAATGGCAATCATTTATTTCATCCATGTATTTCTAAAAGCGTAGGAGCTTGATACATTTTGTCCTCTGGTGTGACACCATATCTAAATTTGAATTGGACAATTTAACGGACAACCTTATTTGGTTGAAAGACCCATTTAAAGTTAATGGTACTGAAGCCCCCTGTGAAGCCCACGATGTGGTGAGTTTTTGTCTCAATTGTTCAAATATTTAACTTTTTCCAAACCACTATAAAATTGTTTTTTGTACTTTGGTGTAACAGCCCTAAATTATATTCTAACTGCTAATGACAGGTTAGCCATGTATAGCATGTTCAAAACTGGCACAAAAAGGTTGAAACATCCTCTGGTGCGACAAAAATGTCACAAGAGGACAAATTCTCTTTAATTAATAATTCAAATGACGTTTTAAGATTTGTTTAACTCCTTTGTGTTCTTTTTAGGTCAATTTTTAGTGTTTTTAAATGCAAAAATTACAGTAAGAAAGATATTTTCAGCTGTTTTTGCAGGAAAGTTGTACGGTTATAAAGTGTCCTGGAAATACGTCTGAAACGGGACACTTATCTCTAATGTGTATTTTTAGCCACACGGCTCATGAGAAGGAAAACCACTGAAACATCTACACAACAGTTGGATTGTGATGAAGAGTTCAGACCTTCATGTTGCCCTCAGGATGAACTGTACGAACTTAGGTGATCCTAATTAATGTGTCCAACACTTTGGTTTATGATCAAATACCTGCAGAACTAATGACATTCCCATCAGCCTCTGCTGTACACTGTGTTTACTGCTAATTATCTAATGTAACCCAAACAGTATGATCTATAATCAGTGATGTAATATTATAATCTGCAAAGTAAATACATCAGTCAGATAAATGTGCAATATTTGCCACTTGTAAAAAGACCAGAACCTCGAAACTGTGCACCTCCATATAAGATCCATGAAGACACTGAACCAGAAAAGGAAAGTGAGACGTTTTCACAAAAGGCAATTTGAGTATTTACAGTTATATTTGAGCATATTGAGGATGGCAGCTGCTAAGAGACTCTCTGTCTTCTGTTACTCAAACCTTCAAGCTGACAGGAAGTCTAAACCTGAACTCCAGCTTCAAATCGTCTCTTCACAAACCCCGAGGTGACACCACAGACGCCGTGGGTTTGTAGTTGATGGTTCAAACACGCAGAGGTTTGCGAGCGACATGTTCTCGTGAGTCTCACACTTGAAAATTGGCTCATCACACTTGTTCTCCATCTTCCTCCACTTGCCTCCAGCCCTCGCTCTTTCCTGACAGACTGGGGTGTGAACATTCCCAGAGTGCCTCAGGGTGGATGTGTATGTTTTGCTGCTAAAGACGTAAGTGGAAGTAAAAATATGAGTGCTAGCAGAGATGCCTTTGCTTTGAATAAATAACGGTCTTTTTCTAATTAAAAACTGTAATTGATTGAAGTTGACCAACATTTAATTATAAAGAGAATCTTCTCAACTCAGACAGACTCTTGGAGTTATAACATCAGTTGTATCATCAGCTTAATGCGTTTACCAGGTTGCCGCAGGGATAGGTCTGCATGTTCCTTTGTGGGCGTGGCCAGCATTCTCTGCCTGGAGCAAATGACCATATTTGGAAATCCGGCACAGAATGACATCATACCGAGCCATTAGTAGAAAAACAGTTCAAAACAGTGTTCAGAACTGGGGGATAGCTGAGGTTTATGATCACAGGGATTTCTTTTTAGTACTTTTACCTCATCATTTGAAACTTTGGTCATGTTTAATACGAACATCTGACATCGTAACATTGTAGAGAAGTCATAAAATGTGGAAAAGCATAATATGTCTCCTTTAAATCGACTGGAACAGGAGATGTTCACTATGGCAACAGAGCCTGCTCACGTAGATGCAGCTGCTCCTCCAAACGGCGCAGCATTTGTGTTTTTCGTCAGTTTTTTTATTGCTGAAACAATGACCTAGCCATTTAAGCACGGACGACGATCGATTTTCAAAATGCAAATAGGAAATCCATGTCTGATCCTAGTACTTTGTCACCCTATGCATGCTACACACCTCTGCGAAGATAGGAGGCTCAGCTAGCATCTCAAACCGGCCGTTTTTATCCACACCAAAACACACATTAAACATCAAGCATCTGAATGAGCTTATATCACAACATAAATCGCTCTGTAATCACTGTAGACATGGCTGCATTTACTGCCTTGTAGATCTCTCATCAGCTGTAACTCAGATCACTCAAATCACCAAACTCAGACTTATTAGCCAACAACAAACGCACAGATATACATTCACAGTTACAACCGCTGACTTGCTTTTGCCCTTTTCGCTGTCTTCAGTCCAAAAACAGCTGTTTGTGTGTAAAGAGATCGCTGCTGCAGCTATCTTAGTATTGCGCAATAGCTGCTCTTAGGTTGAAGTGTTGCTTTGGACACCCAATATACCAAACGATATGTCTCTTCAATACGGAGAGAACGAGCCCACTTACAGGATGTTCTGTTGTCAAGGTGTGGGTCAGTAAAACATGGGTGTGCTTTCGGTCACAGGAATGTTGATCAATATTCACTGTTTTTAATCAATATTTCGATGTTTTGGAAGCTTTCTGTTATTTGGAACATGGTTGTATGGACAGAAACAGTGTTTTGAAGAAAACTCCCAATTAAAGTGAACATATAAACAGTAAATATGGCTAAAACATGAACATTCGCCTGGTATATTCTGAAATATTGTGTAATAACCGTTGTATATTAGTTTATTTCATCAAATGCATCGTTACAGTTGTGTTTTAGAAGATATTCAGGTGCATTATATTGAGCTGGATGATGGTTTTGATGGTGATATTGCTATTAAAATACACTTTATACCAGACGAGGATGAAAATATATTTTCCTTTATTGCATCTCCATTTACTCTAACAGAAAAATAAATACGTTCATTTAGGTTCAGTTGATCTTCTGACCAGAATTATGCATCCAGGCCTAATGGTTGAGGAGTTATTACAGATTCATTTTGGGTATGTTATTTTAGGTTTTAGTTTTCAAGTGGCTAGAGAGGATCCGCCCGGCCAGGTCAACTGGACCAGAGAGTCGGGATCGGAGCCATGCTGACCGAGCTTGGACTTAAAGGTCCCGTCTAGACAAAATGGGACAATGAGACTGTTGTGCCCACATCTTTACAGACACCTGCTCCATCACCAGCACTCGGCAGGCGGATCGTGTCCGAGTACAAGACTCCGGCAAGATGAGCGGAGGTGGATTAGATCAGTGATGCTTGGTGCTCAAGATGATCCTCAGATGATCACATAAATAGTCTGACAAAGTCAAATATGCTCTGAAGAATTATTATAATAAAGATTGTATATTTTATTTTACATGTTACCATATTCTAAGTTCTGTGTGTAGCTTGAAGGGACTACAAAGGTTTTTTTCCTTGTGCTGTGTAATGATAAATAAACTACCTCGACACCTTGATTCAAGTGGTTTAATATAAACCATATTGTTTCATCTATGATTAGATATTTCTATAATAACCATGTATGACGGTGTGAACCTGCAGAGAATCAGGACCTCAGTCTGCAGCTCCCGTCGCCTTTTTAGAGCTTTATACTGAGTTTCAGCTCATTGTTTATCTGCCTGCCTGCAACTTTACTGGTTTTTGGCGAAAGCCACCGTACACAGCGGGTGGAGAACCCAAAACAGAGCTAACCGAAAGAAGACTGGACTCACATTCATCAGGGGACACAAAGTTACTGCCCCCAAGTGGCCAAACAAAAGCAGTTATTGCAGGTTTAAAGTTGTCCGCCTTAATTTTACAACAAACAAACCCGCAGAGAAAGGTAACTTAGAAACAAACTGAGGGACATGTTTTACTTTTGCTGTGATGCTCGAGGCTCCTGCGTCACCCGCTGAGTTCATTTCCTTCAATCTTTCTTTAAATAGTCACAGCCACCAAAACAGAGCAGTCATTTGTTTGTCCTCTCCTCATTTTAACCGAAGACTCTGTTCATCGCGACGGAGAGCGAGGGTGAAAAAAACCACAAAGCTCAGGTGTTTTTAAATACGAGTTTTCCTGTGAATTTTTATTTTACAATATTTAGATCTGCCAGGAGTTTAATGCATCCCTCTCCCTCTCTCGATAGAGTATACGTCTGGTAATATTCTAGACTTCTCTCAGCCTGATGTGCCTTCTGTCTGAGCTCCATTGTGGTCCAGAATCTATTAAACCATCAGTGAGCCTCGCTGCTGCGCTGGCTCACATGTTCCTTCATCACCATGAACTCACACACACTAGATCTGTACATGCAAACTCAGAGGGGACAAACAGGGCGACGTGTTTATGGCACAACACCCGGCCACTCTGGGCCTCACCGCCTAAACCTTATAATGGCAACCCCCTTCATATGACCTGAGAATCATTTCTGCATGTCAGATCTACACGATTCACGTGAATCACACATGCTATTTTCACCGAAAAGCGACTACTTTGCATGTATGTGGAGCACCACGTTGTGGATTCATCCGCCGCAGAAAATAGTCCAACAATTTCCTCTTTTGTTTGCTATAACTACAGTTAGCCTCCAACTCTCTCTTCATCCATCCCGCTGTGTTTCTGGTCTCCTCCTCCTCCTCCTCCTCCCAGACTCTCCTCCTCCCCCAGACTCTCCTCCTCCTCCTCCTCCTCCTCCTCCTCCCCCCAGACTCTCCTCCTCCTCCTCCCCCCAGGCTCTCCTCCTCCTCCTCCTCCCCCCAGGCTCTCCTCCTCCTCCCCCCCCCCAGGCTCTCCTCCTCCTCCTCCTCCCCCAGGCTCTCCTCCTCTAATCATTGCTCATTGTTTTTTTCCACACACTTACACTCCTCCAGACTCTTCTCCTCCTCCTCCTCCCAGACTCTCCTCCTCCTCCTCTCCCCAGACTCTCCTCCTCCTCCTCCCCCCAGGCTCTTCTCCTCCTCCCTCAGTCACTTCCATCCATCTCTTCTCCTCCTCCCAGGCTCTTCTCCTCCTCCTCCCCTCCTCCCAGGCTCCTCCTCCTCTAATCATTGCTCATTGTATTTTTTCCATATCCTTACACTCCTCCTTCCTCCTCCAGACTCTCCTCCTCCTCCTTCCTCCTCCTTCTCCTCCTCCTCCTCCTCCTCCTCCCAGGCTCTTCTCCTCTCCCTCAGTCACTTCCATCCATCTCTTCTCCTCCTCCCAGGCTCTTCTCCTCCTCCTCCCCCTCCCCCAGACTCTCCTCCTCCTCCTCCTCCCCCAGGCTCTCCTCCTCCTCCTCCCCCCAGGCTCTCCTCCTCCTCCTCCTCCCCCCAGGCTCTCCTCCTCCTCCTCCTCCCCCCAGGCTCTCCTCCTCTAATCATTGCTCATTGTATTTTTTCCACACACTTACACTCCTCCCAGACTCTTCTCCTCCTCCTCCCCAGACTCTCCTCCTCCTCCTCTCCCCAGACTCTCCTCCTCCTCCTCCTCCCCCCAGGCTCTTCTCCTCCTCCCTCAGTCACTTCCATCATCTCTTCTCCTCCTCCCAGGCTCTTCTCCTCCCTCCTCCTCCCAGGCTCCCTCCTCCTCTAATCATTGCTCATTGTATTTTTTCCATATCCTTACACTCCTCCTTCCTCCTCCCAGACTCTCCTCCTCCTCCTCCTCCTTCTCCTCCTCCTCCTCCTCCTCCTCCCAGGCTCTTCTCCTCCTCCCTCAGTCACTTCCATCCATCTCTTCTCCTCCTCCCAGGCTCTTCTCCTCCTCCTCCCCCTCCTCCCAGGCTCTCCTCCTCCTCTAATCATTGCTCATTGTATTTTCTCCATATCCTTACACTCCTCCTTCCTCCTCCCAGACTCTCCTCCTCCTCCTCCTCCTCCTCCTCCTCCTCCTCCTCCTCCTCCTCCCAGACTCTCCTCCTCCTCCTCCTCCTCCTCCTCCCAGACTCTCCTCCTCCTCCTCCCCCTCCTCCCAGACTCTCCTCCTCTAATCATTGCTCATTGTATTTTCTCCATATCCTTACACTCCTCCTTCCTCCTCCCAGACTCTCCTCCTCCTCCTCCTCCTCCTCCCAGACTCTCCTCCTCCTCCCAGACTCTCCTCCTCCTCCCAGACTCTCCTCCTCCTCCTCCTCCTAATCATTGCTCATTGTATTTTTTCCACACACTTACACTCCTCCTTCCTCCTCCTCCTCCTCCCAGACTCTCCTCCTCCTCCTCCCAGACTCTCCTCCTCCTCTAATCATTGCTCATTGTATTTTTCCACACACTTACACTCCTCCTCCCTCCATCTCCTCTTTCCCCCTCACCTCGTCTTCTTACTTTCCTTCTCTCTCTGTCGTTCACCATCTCTTTCTTCTCACCCCTGATCTCCCCTTTCCTCACCTTCTCCTCTCTTGTTCTCCCTCTAACCCCTTGGGAGCAGCAGCTGGCCCACAGCTGAAGTGAGGCATGCTGGGAATGTTCACACCCTCTTCTGAGAGCAAAAGGAAACGACAGCGACGAGGAAGGAAGTAGGAAGGTAGGTAGATGCTTTTTATCATTTGTGTAGTCGGACAGTGGACAAAGTAGAAAACAAAAAGTATAAAAGCACCTATTAAACTGGAGAATGTGTGTTTTTATATTGATTACTGTTACAGATGCATTAACAGAAAAGATTAATCTTATAGATAACTTTAGATTAGCTGTCAGATGAACGTAGTGGAGAGAAAAGTAAAATATTTCCTTCTGTTATGTAGTGAAGTAGAAAGCAGCATTAAAATATTCAAGGTTTAAGTACTTCAGAATTGTGCTTGTGTAAATGTCGTTACCTTTGTTACAGTGTGTGTAATTAATAGTGTTTTTTCACATTCTGAATAGTATAATTTACTACAATTATACTATTAGAAACTGTAAAACCTGCTTCGGCAAAACTGGATTGAACTACAGTCAGGACAAAAAAAGCAACTCTGAAGGGAGAGCGAGACAGAGAGCGAGAGAGACGAGGAGTCGGAGGAAACTAGAGCTGAGGCCACCAAAATCTGATCTGCAGTCAGACGACGCTGGTTATTTCTGAAGTGTTGCTGCTCAGATGTTCTCCTAAAGCTCACTCCACCATGGATCCATGCAGCGTGTCGACTCAGCGGCCATCCACGTTAGAGCGAGAGAGAGAGCGAGAGAGGTTTCCCACCACGAGTCCCTCAAAGTGTACTGTACTTACCAGAAACTGCGTTAGTGTTTGTGCGATATCTCAGAAGAACATACGCAGCCTTAAGAACGCTGTGCTCCACCACAACAAGTAAGTGTGATTACTGGGCCTTTAAATTCAACATTTGAAGAATCCACTCTTTAAGAAAACTCCTGCAGGGCACGACAGACGGGACTCCAGTGTGATGGAAGGGCTACGACATGATGTCGTCACTAGTGGGATGGCAATTAGGAGATAATTATCGTATATTTCAGGACCTGACAGTTAACCTCGCAAGTTTATTTACTGACTGTTACGCCACAGCATGAGAAGTGTTCTTCTGCTCGCCTTAAAGAGAAGATGCCTGCACTCCACCGGTAAGCCCCAAAAGAGAGAATAAACAAGAGTAGGGGGTCATGTGTGTGCGTGTTTAACCGTTACGTCTTAGGTTGGAGTCGGCGCCCTTGTTGCACATCAGTCTCCGTCACCACGGAAATCAATAAAACCACCACAGGGTGCACATGGATCAGGAGAATTCATGCATTAATAAGACACAAATCCATTTTAGGTGATAATGTTTCAGAATCACAGCCGCTTAAATATTAATTTCGCCTGGTCACGTACAGCAGAATGTGTTCACACAGGGATGGCAGTGGAACCACGCGCTTCATAGTTTATTTTGCCGCAATTTCAGAAATCCCCTTCAAATGTTATGGAAACGGAGCCGATCACAGCGTTGTGGTCCGTCCTGCGTTTGCAATGGACATACTGTAGGAAGGCAGAGACATGAGGCTTAAAGTACAAACAATCGCTTTCAGTCTCAACTTTTAAGTCAACATTGACGAGAAGTCCTGAACAGAAAAATGGAGATTTGAACATCTACAGTTCCGGTTTCGCTAACTGCCGTTTCCGGAGGTCACGACTGAGCTTTCAATCTCAGCATTTAATGATGTTAAAACCACAGACGCTCTCAGCTATGCTTAGGTGCTCTGCCGGCAGGAACACCCGCGTTTCATGACAATGTGGTCAAGAGTTGCCGTGAAACCCGTTCTCACTCCCGAGTCGTCACATACGGACACGCGGTCAAGACCCCTTGGCGTCGGCTTGCAAAGCATTAGGAAGCCCTTTAGTGCATGACAGCTAAAAGTAGGATTGCTATGTCAATAACAGAAAAGTCAGAGTGAGGAGGTGGGTCAAAAACCGGACTTTCATCCAGGAGACCAGCGTTTGTTTCCCGCGTGAAACCAAAAGTCAACATTGATCGTTATCAGTGACGTTACGGTTACCTGACTTATTTTAACCCAAAGCCTGATCTTTCACAACGTTAACCACTAGTTTTATTTTGAAATAACCGGATGTTGCATAGTTATTATTGCCAACTTGACCGCTGAGCCCTTCATGTGCAGAAGCGACGGTTAAAGCCTAGCTCACAATACACAAGTTTTTTGCCAGATTAGCCGCTCGGCGACCGTCAGGCTGTGATCAGGGGTAAATCGGCGGCCGCCAGTCGTGTGTGAACTACTCAGCGACGCATCAAAATGCTGACGCCAGCCAGATATCTAGCATGCAAATATCCTTTGTATTTAGAATGTTTCTGTATAATAACAAACAACAGCTGTTTCATGTGTTGCGTCATTTCCTGTTTCACAGGTTTGCTTGACTAAACGTGGTTTGGAGACCAGCGTTGGGTGACACAGCCGCTGTCAGCTCGTGTACGACTTCAAGACTCCCGTCAACACTGACAGCCGTGTAGTCTGCACGAGCCTTACGTGTACTCAGGACATTAAAAAGCAACGCGAAGGATCTTGACCAATAATAAGACAAAAGCAACTTGTAACCAGTACAGTACTTGTAAACTGAGCTCAGGCTGCTGTGCCTGTGACTTTCCGACCGGCCTGTATCAATCTGTGTGTTATAAAACGCTTTTCCAGGAAACAGCTCGGCAGCATTCTCTGAATTGACCTCGGCTGCTGTGATCCAAACAAAAGCGCTGACTGCGGCTCGCTGATGCGGCCTTGGTGGCTCATTGGGATGTCGAAATGAAAAATCAAACCGAACAGAAAATAAAGTCCGTGTTTAAAAATTGAACTTAATAGTCGGATCGAAGAGAAATTGAGCTGAGTTGCAAAAAAAAAGAAAAAGAAAAAATGTTTCATAATTGATGTTTTCTGTTCTCGCTGGTTGGATTCCCCAAACCACAGCTCCACTCTTTCATTATAAATCAGCTTTTCAAAGCCAGTCTCCATGAAAATTACAGTGAGGATTCTCGGATTGTACTGAGTAATGAGAAAATGCCTGGCAGAACTCAATTTGGGTCAATTTCCACGTTAATACGCAGGTATATCTTTAAATGTGCTCGTACTCACTCTCCAGGTTTCCAGCCAGCAGGTAGAGCCAGGTGAGCAGGACGATGGCCGTGAGAGACGCCACCAGCAGCTTCAGGCGTCCGCGGCACAGCAGGTTCATGATGGGATGGCGGCGCTGAGGGCTCTGAGGGTCGGGGGGAGGAGGGGTGTTCAGGTAGGGCTCAGTCCTTCGTCGGTTCCCTGCAGCATCCTTTCATCTGAAGACAAAGGGATAAAGAGTCAAAAGACCTGACAACTAAAATCACTGCACAAATATCCAAAAATATCGTCCTAAAAGTTTTTGTTTTTTTTTCTCCTGCCAAAAATGTATCAATGCAGCTTTAATTGAACACGAACGTCTGAAAAGTGAAGCCTTAAACCTGCGTCCTCTCCAGCAGCCAGCAGGGGGCGACTCCAGCGGCTGCAGAAAGAAAATGTTTCTACTTGTCAGCTGATTTATTCCCTCAGTAAACACTTTCCTGATGAGTTTATGGTCTCAGTCTCTAGTTTCAAGTCTTCTTCAACACAGCATGATGTTCATTTAGTAAATTATGGTCCCATTAGAGGAACAGAGACCAGGAAGCAGGGGGGCTTTAGGGCGGGGCTACAAGCTCATTGACAAGTCACTACCACTCCAACCTGTCAATCAGGATCGAGATGAATCGTATCCACCACACTGTAACTAACCATGAACTTGTTTTGGGGTGTGGTCGGTGTCAGGTCCCTTTTCACAGTCCATGAATGTTAATTGGAACATTTTAGTTACCTAAAATGTCTTGTTCAGGGTTCGGTTTTACTAAAATACACTCCAAGGAGTCGGCTAGACAAGATAATATCACTTTTAAACGAGGATTACGGCTGCACCTTGCTAACCAAGCTAGCTAGCTCCACCCTCTCATCCAAAAATGGTCAGATCTGCTTCCAAAAACCCAAGATGACGACGGCCAAAATGCCAAACTCGAGGCATCGAAACAGTAGTCCACAGACCAAAGAGTGACATCACGGTAGCTATGTCTATGCTTTCATCGCCATGTAAAGGGACAATAATAAAATCTTTGTTTTTTGTCCACTCGAGGGAGTTTTTGATCTGATTGCGTAAAATATAAAGTCAAAGTTTTTTCATTGTTTTATTAATTGTTCCTTTATTATTATTTTTTTTAAACTTCACATTTGATACTGATTGTATAGTTGTTTATTTTATCTATTAATACACACACACACACTATATATATATATATACATATATTTTAAAACAAACAATTTTACTGTTGAATTTACTTTATTTTTTAATATTTTGTTTTTTAAATTATTAATATTGTAGTTTTTTTAACGTACAAACACTTTTTATTTAATGAACTGTATAAAATGAATTGTTCTTTTGTTAGTTATTTATTTGTGACTTTGGCAATCTTGTTTTACATTCATGCCAATTTTGCATTGTAGTGTTTCAACTGCTAACCAGGCCAAACTTTAAGCGACACCACCGCCAAGACCCAACCTAGCACAATTAAGCAATAAGTCCTCAGTAGCACAGGACATCACACACCCACTCAATCACTCTCTTGCCCTGCTGCTGTAGGAGCGCAGGTACAGAGCACTGAGGTGCAGGAGGGCCGGCTTTGGGAAAAGCCTGAACCCCGCAGCCATAAATAACAGGCCTCGCTGAGCCGGCCTGAGAGCGTACTGTTGTTCCTGGATGTTGTGACTGTGTGCCGGTGGTGTCCGATGTGTACAGTGCTGTGAAAATGAATTTCCTCTCGGGGACAATAAAGTCTAAATGACCAGTTGATACAGTTCAGTTTGCATCTAGTGAAAACGTAATGAAGTACAGTCTCTGTGTCTTCAGGCTGGGAGTCGTGAGATCAAATGATCCTAAACTGTTTCAGTCTAATGAGGCTGAACTGAAAGAGGGGGATCAATAAGTGTCACATTTGTAACATGGAAAACCTGAAAAGGGGAAAATCCCAAACAGACTTCTAAACCCTCCCACCGCCAGTCCGTCTCTGTCTGAGCTGGCCTCCCTCGGCGAGCCGAGTCTGGTACGAGCGGGAGGTCTGCCTTTGTTTTACAATGCGATTCATTAATCCCACTTTAATTAGACAGAAGCCTGAAGGAAACCAGACCAGAGGCCGCCGCCGAGAGAAAACAGCAGTGAGAGGGAAACTTAAAGCTGAGTGAACAAGTTTCATCTGGTTTCTCGCAGCCTTTCATCATTAATCTTGAACACATTCTCCCCCCCAACAAACGCCATGTTCACCACCCGATACGTTCATGATGCAGCCACGTTTTTATGGGGGTCAATTTAGTGTGATTGAAATAAAGTTGATAAATTACATATTTGTAATATTTGTTTTTGATCAACCAGAGAAGTCATCCTGTCACGTCCGAATCATTTAGTTACCTTTAAGATTCAGAGTTCACGTGATCCAACATTGCGGTCTGTCAGCTGTCTTTGTTCTAATTTGACAAAATAAAAAGATTTAGAAACATTTCTCAGAGTCAGCAATTTTCTGGGAACTTTCATGGGAAAAAAAACAAAAAAAACTTTTTACAGTGAAAATAGAGATGCAAAAAAGATTTCTAAGACAGTTGTTAGAGTTTAATTAGTCCTTTAAAGTTATTTCAAGAAAGTAAAAATTAAATCATTCTTAATTTAATATTGGAAATGTTGATATACTTCAAATGTCACATGTTCAGCTGACATGCTGCGCAACAAAAGACAGTTAGTTAGATTTAATTAAGTGGGAATGTCCAAACTGAACTCTACCCACAGTATTTCACTTTTAATTGGTACCAGATTATGTTTATTTTCTTTAAACTTTAAAGTATGCTATTTATGAATCACTGTAAAATAGAGCATTTTCTACATTAGTAGGGTTTTAGAAACGTTTCGATGAAAAAGGACACAAAGGGACGAATATCACATGTTCAAAGGATTTGTTTTTTAAATGTTTTTGTTTTAAGACAAAACCCTTTTACTGACTGGCCTTGTGTATTCGGGAGATACTTCAGATGACGAGTTATTTCTAAGAGCAGTTTTGGAGGACACAGCAAAGTGCTGATAACTCTGGTGGAAAACAGCAAGATGAGAAAGGGACCGAACACAGCCGGCCTTCAGAGTTTAAATAAAACATCTCCAACGAAGCAGACCGCAGTCAGGAGGACGGCCTCGGCTTTCTGTCTCTCTGGCTCAAAACAATTCAAACTGAATAAAGTACACAACAGAGCTGCTGACTTTAAAGACGTGTCAGTCATCAGCTGCAGGATGAATGTGAGCGTGCATCTCCTTAATAAGTTCCCACAGCACTGTGTTTACGCCGAGGACACGGTCTCTGGCAGTTTCCTGTCCTCCGCAGCTGATTCAGCTTCACGTTAAAACACAGAAGCTTCCTCTGCAGCGCCAAAGGTGACCTCTTACTCGGTTCAACTGAACCATGGGAACAGCTGAAATAAAAAAAGTTTCATCATCAGCGTCTGATGTTTGATGGACTCCTAGAGTCCGTTGTGTATATTGATGGTCCTGTTATCCAAGACTCTTTGACCTCCCTTTAAAGCCCCCGACATACTTGCTTTTTAACAACGCGCAGGCGTAGACAGGCGTATGCGACGCAAACGGCATTGTTCACATACTTGCCTGCGTACTTTGCGTGTACCTGGAGGATTAAACATCCACTAGGGGGCAGATCAGGACCAGATCATCCCTCGCTGACACCGGATTATCTTCCTTGACAATCTCCGAATTTGCGCAACGTCAAACTGCAGCGACACTTTTAAAGTCTGCGGACCAGCTCCAGGAGTTTTACTGAAACCTCTCTTTTTAAAGTCTGCTGACCTTCTTTTGCGTTTAATGGCAAACCAACTGCATGCCGCCACCACCTGGGCTCGTGGGTGGAACGGGAGATTGCCGCTGACCTGCCGGTCAGATTGACGTGCTGCCCCCACGTTCATGTGCTGAATTGCATCTCACGGAAGCGTAGCGTCAATTTCTGGAGACGTGCACAACCTACGCTCCAAAGGAACGCAGGATACGCGTGGCAGCCATCTTGCGTGCGCGAATGAAACCGCTTCTCTCGTCCAGAGCAAACACCACAATTTAATGGGAAGAGAAGTGAAATCTACTGAGTATATTCCTGCTACCAAGAGGAAGATCCATTTTGAATTGAATGATCACGTGACCTTTCCTCTAATGCTGCACAAACTTACACTTTTGTCCCCTCTGCTGGTGATGCTGATCTAATAATAGCTAAGTTTGTATTCTGTTCATTAAATGATCAAGGGTGTCTTTATTATCCCTGATGGGCGATTTGTTGAACAGCCAGCAGTAACTACGCAAACATCAGACAGACAATATACAATAAATACAATATAAAAATCATCTTGAGTTGTTTGGGTTACTAAGAATGGACCCAGGACGCGTCCCAAGGACCTGCTATATGGCGAGCTAGCAGAAGGCGCGCAACTGGCTGTACGGCCAAGTGTGCGTTACAAAGATGTCTGCAAGAAGGGCATGAAGACGGCCGACATCAACGTCAACAACTAGGCATTCAGAAAGGAAACGAGAAACACAAACCTCACTGCAAAGAGAGCCAGGAGGAAGGCGAAACGGTAACGGCCTCAACAAGTATCGACGTTCACCTGCAGCAAGTGCAAGAGACGGTCGCTCTAGGGTCAGACTCTCCAGCCACTCGTGAAGGTGCAGACGCAGCCAGCAGTAACTATAAAAACATCAGACAGACTATACGCAATAAATACAAAATAAAAATCACCTTGAGATATTTTAAAAGGCCAATGGCAGCAGGGACAAGCAAATTCTTAAGTCTATACGTCCTGCATCTTGGCAGGTTGCATCTGTGACCAGACGGAAACGGCATGAACTCCTTGGCTAGGATCAGCCAGGACTGACGGGGCTCTCTCAAAGTCCTAACTTTGTGCAGAAGAGGAAGATCATTAAAGATCGTCCCTGTAATTCTGCTGCACACCATCGTCAAAGATTGCTTTGCAAGTGTACGAACACGATTGTGACAGACAGCTTACAAAACTAAATGTAACCTCTTGTCAACGACGAGTGAAAACGCCATTATCTGCTGTAAATGTGTGTGTGAACGCTCAGACTGCGCATAGAAATCCACTTCCCCAACACTCAACCAGAAGTTTCAACTTTCCAAGTACATTGACATGATTTATGAGTTAATTAGTGGGGTTGATGTATGTCGTTAAG